TGCATGTGTGCATGTGTGCATGTGTGCATGTGTGCATGTGTGCATGTGCATATATGTGTGTTTGCGCCTGCATTTGCGTGGTCCTTCGTGTGTCTGAGGGGTGTATTGTTGCCGGGCCTCTCCGGGGCAGCGGTGATCCCGGCGGGAGAGGGGGGGGGCGGGCTATTCGGAGGAGATCTCCACGCGAATGCGCGCGGTCTGGGCCGCGAGGCCGGTGGCCGACACGCGCGGCGCCAGGCCGATGTCCCCGGCCGATTGCCAGGCCACCCAGTCCCCGGGGGGGAGGCCGGCCGGGGTGGCCGGCCGCGAGCCGGAGCCCGCCCCGCCGGCATTCAGCAGGCGCAGCAGCTGCGAGAAGAGGGCCACCACCTTTGGCCGCCGGGGCAGGACGTCGCCGGCCGGGGCTGCCGGGCCCGGCTGCGGGGTCGGCTCGGTCAGGACCACCACCCCCCCTGGGGGCTGGTCGGTCGCCAGGGCAGGCAGCATGGCCGGCGCCGGCACCGGCACCGGCACCGGCACCGGCCGGGCCACAATGTCCCGCAGGAAGAAGACCACCGGCGTGGCGCTGGCCAGCGCCGCGCGTGCGGCCACGATGTCCGGGTTGACGGAGAAGACGGCCGGCCGGGAGGCGGCCCCGGGGCGGGTGCCGGGCCTCGGGCGCCGGTCGGCGTCCACCGGCGAGAAGGGCCCTTGGGCTGGGGGGATGGCCGGGGTGCCGGGGGTCCCGGGGTCCTGGGCGACAGCCCGCGGGCCGGCGCGGGTCCCTGACTCCGGCCCCGGCGCCGGCAGGAAGGCCTCCACCACGGTGGCCACCGTGGCCTCCAGGTGCCGGAGATCCGGCGGGTCGAGGGGCGCCAGGGGGGCCCCGGCCGCGGGGCCCGGGTGCAGCATGTGCGCCTCGGAGGGCAGGGCCGCCTCCGGGCCCGGAGTCAGGGACCCGCGCCGGCCCGGGGGCGGGGACGCCAGGTCCGGCAGGCCGAAGGACCGGCGCAGCTCCACCGCCGAGGCCCAGGCCGACTCGAGCAGCTGGTCCACGGACACCTGGTCCAGCAGGGCGGCCGTCGAGCCGAAGCCGGTGGCCGACGCGGCGCCCGGGGCCCGGTCGCCGCCGGTCGCCCCAGCCAGCGCATCATCCACCTGCTGCCACTCGAAATCCAGGGCCATATGGCCGTCCGGGTCCGGACCAATGTCGCCCGGGAGCGGCCCCGACCCGGCGAAGCCGCCGGGCCCGAAGAAGTCCCCAAAGTCGTCGAAGCCCCCGGGCATGTGGGGCGTCCCGGGGGCCGGGGCGTCGCCGGCCGACGGGCCCCGGCGCCGGGCCGTCCGCCGGGTGGCCAGCTGGCTGAGGGCCGCCACCGGCAGCGGGGCCAGCCCGGCCGGCAGCGGCGTCGGCACCAGGTCCTGGTCGCCCGGCGGCGGGTCGGCCCAGGCGCCATCGCTCGGCCCGCGGGGGTCCGCCTGGGCGGCATTCACCCGCAGGAGCAGCCCCTGCGCCAGGTCCAGATCGGCCTCCTGGCCGAGGGCGTCCAGGGCCTGGCGCAGGGCGCCGGCGCGCGTGTCGCTGGCCGCGAAGGCCGGCCGCGCGTCCCACCGGAAGGCCGCCGACCGGGGGACCGGGTCCAGCAGGACCGGCTGGTCGAAGGCCCCGGGGAAGAAGAAGACACGCTGGAGCAGGGCCCGGGTGTGGTCGGCCTGCTGCTGGGCCGCCGGCCGGGCAGGCGCGCCGGCATCGGCCATGTCGACGTCCTGTGCGTGCGCGCGCGCGCATGTGCACATGGCGGGGAGGGGGGGGGCCGGACGCGCGGCGCCGGGTGTGGCGGGCATCGGGCGCCGGCACGTCCGGCGGAAAAACCGCCAGTTGCGGCCACCGCATCCCCCGCTCGCCCTCGCTGGTGCGAACAGGCGCATGCCGGAATTTCAGCCCGCCAGTTGGGTGTCGGCATGCGGCCGGGGCGATCGTGTCCCCTTTGGTCGAGTTCCAGCCGCTCCTTGGCTCGGCCGTGTGCGCCCTGCGTTCCGGCCGGCCGACGGGGGCAGTTGTCCTGGCCCCCACCCACCCCCCCCCGCGCCACGCCCACGCCCCCAGTACTTTCTCTCACGCGGATGGTCGAGGCGTTTCACTCCGGGTCTCACCCCCTTCCCCGCCCCGCCCCGCCCCGCCCCGCCCCGCGCCCCATGATCTTGCTTAACCGTGTGTGTCATTTTGCCTTGTCTTGTTCCTCGCGTGGTCGTCCTTTGGGTACACCCCATCGGTCCCGGATGATGCAGCCCTCCCACGCCCACGACGCCCCGCCCCCCCGGGGGGGGGTCCCTCTTGCTGATGAGGCGCTCATTGTCCTCGGCCAAGGAGGGGGGTGGTCTGAGGTGCCTCCCCCCCCCGCCCCGCCCCGCCCCGCCCCGCCCCGCCCCACCCCGTCTGGTGTCGGCCCCCGTCCCGTCCGGGGCAACGGGGGGAAAGTCGCTCCTCTTGGCGCGCCCAGGCACCCCTGCCCGCGCCCCCTCTGGTCCAAGAGGGCAAGGACGCGCGTCGGCCGAATGCCCCCTTGTGTGCTCCGGGGCTTGGGCGCCGCGGTCCTCCCCCTCCC